GCCACATGGTTACCTGCCTGCCTCCTGGCACTACTGTCCGGATAGTAAGTGCCTGCTTGGGCCCGATCCTTCCTAGGCTGACTGCTGAGGGGGCCGATGGACACACCTGGGCAGGAATGAGTTGTAGCCTATGGCAGGCTGCTACCCAAAACAGTGTGACTGCAGATGAACATCTGTGTATTTCCTCCAGAAGGAGCCTCGTGCTCTTCTCCCAGAGTGAGCTAGCTGCTCCTCTAGCTGCAGCCTCTGCAGTTTCTGGACAGACGTTGGTTTTGGTGTGAGCAGGAAAAGTGGTCTTCTAGGCCAGGAGAAGCTCAGCAGGGACTCCTTCCCCTCAAATGAAATGTAAACTAATGTGGAAGGTGCTTGGTGAGGAAGTCTGAGGCCCTGCTGTTAGCACTCTGTCCCTCACTCCCTTTCTGCTTCCGAAAGCTGGGCTGGGTGCAGTGGTGCACCACAAGGCCAAAGACCGTACCCCAGTAACTGATTCACACTTTCCTTCTCGGCTCACTTGTGCCATGGCCCTCAGAAGATGAGCTAATGTGTCTGCTCCTCTGTGACATTCAAGAGCTTTTTCTCAGCATTTGGTCCTGAACCTGGCAGCATTGGCACACACATGCTCACAGAGGACACTGGTGAGGAAAGCAAGGTCGTCTTTGGCTTGAAAGAAACTTAAATAAAACTGTAAGCTGGAATGGATGCTGAGAAGCTGTCCCAGTCCTGGTATCTTTTCCTCTAGGCCCTGCCAATCTTGAGCTGGCCTTCCTCCCTGGACCCACAGAGGCCCACTTTCTGTAACCCCTCCCTTTCACCACCCCCTTCTCAAAGAACTCATGAACCCAAGGCCAGTTCCTCTTTCGCAGCATGTGGCCCACAATAGAAAAAGTTGTGATCGCTCTTGCCCTCCTGATGCCTCAGTAAAGTTGCTCTTAAAAGTCTGTGGGAAGGCGAGGGCTTTCCACATTGGTTCCCCTCATCAGGAAGCACCGGGCCAGGGACCCGCCATCCCACAGTGGTTAAAATGAAGTTTCTCTCCTACCTAACAGAGTTCATTTCATTAGGAGGCAGAAAATGCAGTTAACCTTGAAGACTTGAGGTCACTGGCTCACGCTTGCTTGCTGCTTACTGCCTCAGTCCCTCCACAAAAGGGTCCGCAAAGAGAGAACAGAACCAGGTGCTGCAGAGAGGAGCAAGAGCAGGGATTCTTCATCCTCACTGCAGAATGATTCTGGGGTCACAAATTATTTTGTGTGCTATATAAAGAGAATAAATGGGCTTAATTGCATGCGCTACGATTTTGAAATATGTATAGATACTACTGTAGTTCATCAAGTATAAATTTATTTTTAAGTGAGTGCTAAATAAGTTACTTTGACCCAAAGATTCTGAAGTTTGGCTGCAGAGTAAGCATTTGATGCTCTGCCTAGACTCACTTGTCCTGAGCTTGGAGCTCTGACTTGGTGACTAAACAACTTGAGTGCCTGTCAGTATAATCAAAACAATGAATTTATTCTATTCTGTCTTATTTGATTTTTATTATGTCTGAAGGTATCTGCAGCTATTTTGAAGACAAGAGGCATTATGGTAACCATTGTTGATTTCCTGTTGTTTTGAAGTCCTGTACACTGGTTTGTTTTGATTGGCTTTATTCTGTTTTATTTTGCTTGGTTTTATTCTCCTTAAAATAAAAAAAAGAAAAGAAAAGAAGCACCTTCCAAGGCTAGAGCCTGGGTGAGGGGAATGAAGGGAGAGCTAAGAAGAGAGTTCTGGCAGCAGAATTCTGTGAAGGTTAAATAGAAATAAATAATGAATACAATAAAGGACTTCAAAAGACAATAGTAAATCCAAAATGGCTCCATAATATATCTTGTTATCTTTGAAACAGCTGCCCATGCCATCGGATATAATAAGATCAAACAACACAAAACAGAATAAAACCCAACCCAACAAAACAGTGAAAATGATACAGGACTTCAAAACAAGATAATAGGAAATTAACAATGGCTGCCACCTTCAGAAGGAGATCCCCCATAGATACTACATTGTGTATCTTTATCCTCTGGATAGATGATCAGACTACCTGCTTTAGACCAGCAAAGTCAGTGACAAACTAAACACTACATGCATTAAGTTGCATTTTACCTCACAGCCTGTGTTTCTCTAGATCAGCTGGTCGCTTATGGTGGGTGAAGGTGGTGGGTTGGCCCTTTTTTATTCCCAGCCTGTGTACCCGAAGGGGCTGACATCTGGCTGTCCCCTCAGCAGCATGTGCAAGGTGCTGATTCTCAGGGATAGCTTGCTTCTTGGTGACTTCTCTTTCCCCGTAGTCTGCAAATGGCGCTGACTCACGGGAAAAGACTGGCATCTGGCTCTCCCCCCCAGTGGCCTATGCGTGGTGCCAATTCACAGGAGAATTTATTTCTTGGTGACTTCTTGTTCTCTTTCCCCACAGTCCACAAATGGCCAGAAAGTGCTTCTTTTAATGAGCCTACATAAGAGCATTGTAGATCAGAGCCATGTGTGTGCTAGCAATAAACAAGAACCTGAGGGCACCATGACTTCATGGTGGGTATGATGTACCAGTTGCTGAGACACAACCAGAGAAAGCTTTTTTTGATGACTATATGTAAAGGATTATGCCTTTGTTTCCAACATGTGCAAGAGAAAAGCCATTATTTACTTTTCTTCCTATGAAGTAGAAAACTCTGAAGTTAGATCTACTGGATTTGGAGTTCTATCAACTGAGTTTGTGGCTGCATTTGAGATGCAAGTCACATGAAAATGAGTTGTTATTGTGGAAGGCAGAATTCTTAAGATTTTCATGACAAAAGCACATTTTCCCCATGACTGTCTCTATCCTAGGCGTCTGCTAATGTGAGTGCTGCATGGAAGCTTCTTCAACCATTAAAACTCATGCTAAGTGATCACAGTGTAGTAGCCAGCTTGGGGCAAAGTAAAATGTGTAGAGGAAAATGACCACAATATGAAACTGTCTCATGCTATCCCATTTCAGTAGCTTGGATAATAGTGCAGGACCTGCTTGTGAGAGAGTTGGACATACTCCCTCCCTCCCAGAAGACATTAAATATGAGTTTAAACTCTTCCAGGAAGTAGTTCATAGGCCCTGGCCAAAGACAAAATAGCTGATGGATTTCTTTGTAAGACTGCTTTTGTGGCTCACCACACAGAGGCCCAGTGTGATCTGCAATGTCTGTTCTAAGAGTAGCTTTTTCCAGTTGGAAACTGAAGAGCATGGTATAGGGCTACTGCTTTGGGAGCATGTGCTGGGAGAAAACGTGAGGGTACCAGGAAGGGGCAGGATACTCACACTGCCTCCTTCAGTTGAACCACCAGATTAAGGTAGAGATGCTCTACCAAGCATCCTGCAGCTTCTAAAAGGATATACTTCTTTCAACACTTGCTGAGAGATTTAATATCTTCCCTATTTCTCTTTCAACAGTATATGACAGTGATGGTGAACCTTTTAAAGCTTTCAGTGATAGGCAGCCTGCTGCAACACGTGTGCCATGGGTTTGCCACCACTGGTATAGGGTGAGCCAACAAAAGAGGAAAAGATGAGGTATAAACCTTTAATGAAGATTCTAAAAATCTGCCTATTCTTGGAAGGCCAGGTCCTTCTGTCATTACCATGGTTTTGGGCCTTTGTCATAGATGAGATTTTTGGAATTTATAAAATACCCTCAATTTGGACACAAAGTTTGATGTGTACCCTCCAGAAACAGTCATCTGAGCAGAGCTGCAGGGGCTACTGTGGACAGGTCAAGAGATGGGTGCTCTACAGGCTTCAAACATTTGAAGAATCCCCTGTAATTCATTCCCCTCCTGGCTTATCCCAGATAGCCAGGCAGCTCTCTGAAGCAGAAGTTGTGGGTTATAGACAGCCTGAAAGAGACATTGTGAAACCTTTCCAACCTCTACCTTAATCTGTTGGTTCAAGAATTTTTCAAGGAATAAACATTGAGTACCTACCTGTACCAAACTTGTGCTCAGTTCTGGAGAAGGAATCATGCCTTCGTGAAAATCATAAACTTGAACAGTAAACAATCAACAAGATAATTACATAAATGCTGTGAAGGACATAAAGCCTTGCAGAAGGATCTACAGAAAGACCCTTGTGCAGAGGGCCTATGGCCTGAAGCCTCAAGGTTAGGAGTGCCTGGTGAGAGCTGCAGAAGGAACATCCAGCAGGGAGGGACCATGAAGCCACACAAACAAAAGAGCTGTGGTGCGTTCAGGGACAGAAAAGCAGTGGCCAGAATGCAGTGAGGAGGAGGATTTAGGATGAGTTCAGAGAGAAGGCAGAAGCCAGGCTATGTGGGGTGTTACCGGCCATGACTGGAGTTAAGACTTTATCTGACAGCAGTGGAAAGGCATGATGCTGTTAACCAGAAGTGAGCAGGGTAATTAAAGGTCACTGTGTGCTCACTGCCACACTGTTTGCAATAAATTAGAAACATTTGCCAGTGTTGAACTGGGTGATATAACTTCTGGTTCATCACAATGGTGGGCAGCAGGTAAAACCTATGAGGTGGGACTGGGGATGTAGCTCACTCGTAGAACATTTTCCTAGGGGTGAGCCCTAGTTTCATCCTCAGTAATACAGAAAAAACAAAACGGTAAGAACATCAACAAACTGAGACATACCTATTTGTACTAAGTACAAGGGAAAAAAAGAAACAATGGATGTGATCCTCTTTGCTGGAAAAAATTACAAATAGACTTTAAAATTTTTGTTAGTACGTTTGCAGTATATAATGATTACATTTATCCTGGACGTTGGTACAGGTACATAACATGTCTTGAATCTTTTTTAGAAACTATATGTGTAGAACATTTTGCCTGTTATAAAATGTGTGCATGGGAAGCTGGCAGTGGAGGGGAACCAGGACCACAGGGAGACTAGAATCGAAGGGAGCCTGACCCTCATGCTGCATTCTTTAGTGCATTGGAATAGCTTCCAGTGTGCCTGTATTACTTACCCAGCAACGACGTCATATCTAAATTGTGATCACTGTTGTTGCTGCATGGAGGAAGGACTGAGAAGGGAAAGGCAGGAGCAGAGAACTCACAGGAAGGCACTGGCAGTGGTGCAGTTGGAAGGTGCTGTTGGCTCGATGTATGGAGTTCCTAATGGGTAAGAAAAAAGTGAATAAATCCAAGATTGCGTGCATTTGTATGTGTGTTTTTTGCTGGGAATTAAACCCAGTGCCTTTAATTTGCAGCTATTTATTTATTTATTTTCTGAGAGAGTCTCGCCAGGTCGCTAAGTTGTCCACAGTGGACCCACATTTGGCATTAAGGCATATGCCGCCATGCCTAGCTTCAGTATGTGTGTTACAGGCAGAGCTCACTGGATGTGCTAGAATTACTGCTGTACTCCAGATGGACATTCCCTAGTCCCACTGGTTTAAAACGGGTTTGTACATTGGAGATTAGATCTGATTTACACGCCTCAGCTCTGAATTTTCTGACATGTCTGTGGTTTGCTGAGCCCTTTCCAGCTTAAAACCTCTGAAGGCAGAGTACGTCTAACGGTCACAATACAAAAGACACAGTTATAGACCTGTGACCCCTTCATACCCAGAGCTATAAACAACTTCTAATGATTATAAACAAAATCACAGCGAGGAAGACTGCTCTTTCCTCAATGCAGCTTGCTTTCTTTGCAGAGAGATGCCAAGGGCCAGTATCTGTTTGACCTTCTCTGCCACCACCTGAACCTACTTGAGAAAGACTACTTTGGCATACGCTTCGTGGATCCAGATAAGCAGCGGGTAAGTCAAAAGTCAAAGCGCTAAGAGAGCCCAGGCTTAGTCAATAATCCCGAAGGCTTGAACCTTCATATTCAGAGTTAACCTCAGGAGCCAGGCACCAGCCAGACCCTGTAGTTTAATGTCATCACTTTGAACCTCGGTGCTAGACCCAGAAGGCACCTTAGCTACAGCTCACATAGAGAAGCCTGCCCTGTTACAGATGTAGAAATGGCATGCTAGGGAGCATGAGGGATTGGACCAAAGTTGAACTTGGAGGCTTAGGCCCTAACTTCTAGTAAAGGAGCTTAATTAACCACATTGTTCCAGGTACTGAGGTGCCAACCCCATCTCAGCAGAACAGACAAAGCCAAACTGACGTGGGCCTGTCATCACCTTGCAAATCCTGTGGTTCTTGCTCTGCTCTACATAACACAGATAGGAACAAGTCCACATTGTCAGTTTCCTACTTCATCTCAGCTCTGCCTCCCCAGTCAGCTCCTCTGTGCGTGCTGTGGTCCACCCAGATGGACAGCTCCCAACACAGAGGCCCTCTCCCTTCTCAGCACCTTCCCTCTGTAGTTCTCTCGCCTGAAACACGCTTCTCCTTCTCACTTCACACTGCACACCTTTCTGGCTAGCTCCTTTTCATGTTTTAGCTCTTACCTGAGATGGTTACCTCCTTTAGCAATCTTCCCTAACCATGCTCTGCATTAGGGGCCCTCCTCTGCAACCCACGTGCTTCCGACACCCTGTCTGGTACTTCTTACACCAAATGGTAAATTCCGCAAGGGTGTGGACTTGGTCTCCTTCAGCAACATTTCCCACATAACTAACACAGGACCCAGCAGGTAGCTGATGTTCAGTAAGCATTTGCTGAAGGGATAAATGACAAAGTTAATGGTTTACAATGCCTTATGTCTCACCTCCTTCTGATTGGCTTGCAGATATCTGCAGATTCTATAATTTTGATTCATTCTCCCTTTGTCTTTGGCATCTCCCTTGAAGCAGGACAATTTGCAGATGTATTCTGTGCTCTGTGTCTCAATTCTCTACACCCCTGCTTGCCACTCATGCTCATTTGCCACTCTCCAAAAGCCTTAGCATCATATATTCTAGAGGTGCCTCCTTTCCCAGGCCCAGGTTTTTCCACAAACCTCTAAACACAATGTTTGTGTCTGTTGTCACTGGGGCCTTTGGGTATAGAGGGCTCAGGATTTCAGCACTGCCTGGGGTCACAGGTGTGCCCTTCACCACATCGGAGTGAAGAACTATTTGTCCTATGGTGCTGTGGTTCACTTGGCCTTGCAGGGCTGTCTAGGCTTGTGCATCAAACAATGAGCTTTAGGAGAGATTCTAAAGGACCATATCCCTTCGGTTGACTAGCCCTCCCCTCTACTTTTCACTGACATATTTGTTTCCGCTAGCCCAGCAGAGCTTTGGGCAGCATCAGTGTTTGGGAAGTTGTGGCAAAGTAGTCACTTTCAAAAGCCTCCACTCTATTGACGTAAACAATCTACTGTAGCAGTCAGTGCTTACTAGAGATACAGATTTATTGCAAGGTAGACAAATCCATGAGAACTTATGAGGTTGGCTTACAGTGGCCACCACAGAGTCAGGTGTAGAAGAACACAAAAGGTCTGTCTGCACAGTGGAGCTCCGGAGGATCCCGTCGAAGGCCTGGGGCTCAGCGTTGTGTCCCGTGTGAGTCCCTATGAGGAGGCTGAAGAGTCTGTGCTGGAAACCAGGAGATGACCTTCAAGATAAAGGTGAAGACTGGAGCTCCTGTGAAGAAACAGAAGCGAGCCTTCCTTCTTCATGTCCTTTTCACACCATTCTGGTGACAATCCTCCCTAGGCTGAGTCTTCCACACCCAGAACTATGCTGAGCCAGTTTAGTCAGCTGTTTCTTACATAGTCGGCAGTTAGTTAACTGTCAAATCTACTTAGATCTGAACCTTAGTTCAGCCACAGGTGCCTTCATACTAGAAAGTTCTGTATCCTCCCCTGCTCTAGGTGCTCATTCACTATAAAATAGTGGGTGGTTTCACAAAATGTGGATGTCTGCTCTGAACTTTCCTTAAAAAGACTGCCCCTGAAAAAACCAGTTACCCCCGAGTCCTTTGCATCTCTGAAAGGTGGTAGTGCATGAAGAAAAAAGTTAAATGTGTCCTGTTGATTAATTTTTAGTTCATTCAGACTGTGTTTAAGAATAAGAGCACATGTGAAGATGATAAAGGTGAAAAGGAAAAGGAGCTAGAGAGAAAGAAAGAAAAGGAAAAATAAACATTTATGGGGTACCTGGTGTGTGGATCACACTCTGCAGTAGGCACATACCAGCCTCTTCTAGCTGCTGTGTATTGAGAGCTAAGTTGTGTCTGGAACTAAGCTAAGAACTTCACAAATGTTTTTCACGTAATCCTTAAGACCAATGAGCTGAATATCCATAATTATAATAGCCACCTCCAAATAAATAAATAAAGTCTGAAGCAAGTTAATTAGCTTGCTTAACCAAGGTAAATGTCAAAGCCAGTCTTATGTTGGTCCTGACTCCAGAGCCTGTCGAAGATTCCATTCCAGAGTCACACCTGATAGCCTCTGAGAGCTGAGGCTTGAGGTACTGTTGGAGGGTTGAAGGGAAATGGACCTGTAAAGAGCTGTCCTAGAACCACTGGTCCATGGCGACAACAGAGGAGGTGAGCTCCCCATTCCTCCCCTCCTCCCTGAGCTCTGAGTGTGAACCCAGAGTCACATCCGTCTGCACACCCTGATTGCCCTTCAGTATCAGTGTCTGGGACTCTCCTGGCCTCTCCCAGAGAAGCTGCCATAGCCCGTCCCCTGAGTTCTGACTCAGACCTAGACCTCTCCTCCTTTCAGCCCTCCCTTATGCCCTTTCAAGGTCCCACAGTCTCAAGATTGAACCACTTTGACCCATTCACCCAAATATAGGAGGAAACCCTTCACCCATGTTACCAGCTTGCTAGTGACTCTGAGACTTAGATTTTACCAGGCTGCTATAAGCAGCAACTCTGGCAATCATGTATTCTTGGGTCCTCTCAAGACTTCTCTACCAGACCCTTAAAATCCTTTGGACAAATTGACAGCTTTCCACTTCCTAAGAGGAGATTAGGAAAAAGTTTCAATGCTTTTTGAAAATCTCACTAAAGTACAAACTAGTCTTCTCTCCAGCAGTTGCCGAGGGAAGGTTTTTTGGTTTTGTTTTGTTGTTTTGTTGTTCAGCACCACCTGCCCTCTGCTGACAACGTATTGCTCACTCATTCCTCGAATTTCTATCTTTTTTTTTGTTGTTTATTTCTTTTAATCAATCAGCCTAAAGGCCCTGCTTGTCTTCTGATTCTCTGATACCTGTAAAGTCCCCTTCCCTGTACACAATGCGGAATGCTCAGATAGCCTCCTCCACCTTCGCAGGCACAGCCTGGATCCCTGGCCATTTCTGTGCAATTTCATCTCTTGCCTTTTGCTTCTCTGTGAAGTGGAGCCTCGGTGGGCCGTGTAATGTGAGAAGGACCTCTTAACCACACTGAGTGGCTATAATGAGTTGCCAGCCTCGTGGGAACTTAGATCAGAGGAAGCCAGAGAGCAGACTGTCAGCCCAGATTATCCATGTAGAGCTGACGGAAGAACTGGCTCTTAGTGGGTCCATTAGCTGCGTGACCCATGGTTCAGCCCAGAAGGTGAGCGCTGGGAACTGAGGGAGGCCAGGATGCTGTCTGCATGAGCTTGGCTGCTATTCTGCCATGGCAGGTGCCTGCCAAGACATTACATGAAGCAGAAGTAGCCAAGAAAGAGGGCAGCGTGGACCAACTCCGTTTGTCCATTGATGTCCCTATGTTGCAGGCACTGGTGACTGTGGTGAATAAGACAGTTTCCTGCCCTCGAGGAGCTTACATCGAGGGACTTGCAGCCACTTCCAGGCACTCAAACTCCAGATAATAGCAGTTTAGCTCTCTGTAGGTTGACAGTTACCTGCTTAGTGTAAAATCAACAAACATAATTAGTGAGTTTTATAAAGGACCATGGCAGAACAGAGACACAGATGTAGAGTGGTCTCATTGCTTTCTTCCTCCAAACATAAGTGCCATGGGGAAAATGTACTGCTGCTATGTTCTGCTTCTAGAAATCCGAGGGGAACAGGAACTATCCTACACATCAGTTGCAGTTAATTATCTAATGAAACTTAGACTTAAAACATCGCTGTGTGCCAGGGAATCCAAAGTGTTTTCTCTCACAAGGATTGGCAATCTATGTTAAAAACAGAAATATACACCAGCTATCTCTGCCTTGTCTCCATTTATGCAGTTTTTCTAAATATGTTCTAAAGTTGCTACTGATGGCCTTTATCCCACTTCTTTGCAAAAGAAAAACAAAGTTGGCACATAACAATGTCCACCACTCATTAACCCAACGTTTCCCTCCTCAAGCCAGGAGGGTCTCGGTCCCCACTACATGTCTGTGCAGTCATGTGTGCCTGCCGGCATACAGGATCCACCCCTCAGAGCTTTGGCACCCTGCTTCTGGAGACAGCATTTCCAGGAAAGCCCAGAAATGGCATCTGGAGCTGGAGCTGCTTCCCCTTCACAGCTGACTGCACAGGAAACTTATTTCAGAAAATCATACCACTCTTTACTCTCTGAATCTACTGCACAAGTTTTCATGTTGTCTTTACCCTAGGCTACAATCTGCTTAGTTATTTAAATTTTATAAAGCAAGTTATATTTGACACTCCTTCTCATAATGGTTTTCGTGTCCTGTGTTCTGTTGCAGCATTGGCTGGAGTTTACGAAGTCTGTGGTGAAGCAACTAAGATGTAAGTATCCTCTAGGAAGACTGAAGCTTCACCCCTACGGCGGGTGGGACGAAACCTCGCTGAGCATGAAGTCTTGGTCTACACATGTGATGCTCCATTATTCTAACTTGGCCCTGAGCCTGGGAGGATTTTATTCTGGTGATTGGGGGGCCTGGTTACCTCAGTCTCCCCTGATGAGTGTCACTTTTTCTCTGCAGCACAGCCTCCATTCACCATGTGCTTTCGTGTGAAATTTTACCCGGTGGACCCTGCTGCACTGAAAGAAGAAATCACCAGGTGAGGCTGAAACGTGCTGCCTCCAGGAGCAGCCAGAGGACGGGGAGAGGGGATTGTAACCTCTTCTATCCTCTGAGTCGGAAGTGTCTGTTTCAGCCAGGAACTCTTTCTAAATACAGCCCGCTCTCCTGTTTATCATGGCCGCGTGCTTCCTTTGCTCACCCCTCAGTGCAACAACAGGGGCAACGTGTGCCTTCTTCCTCCAGGTCTGCATGCTTCATCTCTAAGTGCTCACTCCGCAAGGGACCTGAAGTAACTAATTAATCAAAAACCACGATGGCTGCTGTGCACATTTTTAGAAAGGGCCGTGTTGCTGCTTATTTGGGGGCCTGAAAATAGGCTTCAGGGCCTAACGGAGGTACCTAAGAAATGGTGAGGAAATAGAGAAGAGTCTAAATCCAAATGGGCAAGTTCTGCTGGACTATTGGATCAGGCCTATGATAAATTCTAAATGGCAGGGCCCTGTGTGCTCTGTAGTGGGCAGGCAGCTGCGTGGCAAGAATCCTGTGTGCCCTCAAGGATGAGAAAGGGCCTCTGTGCCCACAGCCATCCTTCAGGGAAGGTCAGTGAACAGGAGCTTCAGGGCTTCCCCAGGGTTTTTACGTCTGAGCTGCATTCATACTGACAGTCTCACTTCGCAGATGTAGCAGCTTTCTACAACTGGATGCCTTATTTTGGCATAAGCAAAATCTTGACGTGATCCTGCAGTAGGCAGGGCTGTGAAGAGGTGATGCCAAGGAGGCCTTGAGGCAGCACTGACAACTCCAAGCCCCTCTCCAACCTCAGAGGTGACACAGATGGGAATGAGGCTATCGTGTGGACTGTTGGTCATCCTGTAAGCCTTTGAAATCTAGATCCTGAATCACTTGCTAAGGAAGTCCCAAAGAAAGTAGAGAAGAAAGAAAAAGGATAACAGAGTATGGGATTTTCAGCTGGGCGTGGTGGTGCACACCTGCAGTTCTAGCACTCGGGAGACTGAGGCAGGAGGATCATTGCAAGTTCAAGACCAGCCTGGGCTACAAAGTAAGCTCAAAGCCAGCCTGAACTGTATAAACAAGACCCTGTCTCAAAAAGACAAAAAAAAGAAAAGAAAAAAAAAGATTACGGAATTTTAATTTCCATTCTGAAGAGCATGATACTGGCTTTATAGCAGGTGAAAAGAACAAAAGTTTCTCTGAGGGAAACCAGGAAATGGACGAGGACAACAAACAGGGGTGAGCAGTGCACAGAAGCAGAACAGTAAAAAGGGGTTTTTCCACACGGGCTCCAGTGTCCGTGGAAGGGAATCTTCCTCCAGTGTCAGAGGATCAGAAGGGTTTTTGCTGCCGATGGTCAGGGCAGAGTGCACCCACCTACTCTGAAGCGCCAAGGACAGTGAATGTGTAGCTAGACCCAGTTTCATGGTCCTTTCTAGGCGAAGGACCATGAAAGTCAGGGAGGAGCCTTGGCGTTACCTTGTAGCAGGCAGGGACGGAGGAAACTCTTTGCTTTGGAAAACCCATCCGTAATAATGAATGGCTCTCTAGCTTCTGGCTGTTACAAACTGTGCCACCATAAATATAGGCATGTGTATATCACTATGGTATGATGCTTTTAATTCTTTCGGGAAGATACTGAGAAGGAGAATAGCTGGGTTGAACGGAACCTCTAGTTTTAGTTTTTTCCACACTGATTTCCACAGTGGTTGCACCAGTCTCCACACCCACCAACAACGGAAAAGTATTCCCTTTTCCAACAGCCTCACTAACATTTGTTATTGGTTGATTTTTTTAATGATAGCCATTCTTTCTGGAGTGAGATGAGATCTCAGTGTTTTAATTTGCATCTCTCAAATGACCAGTGATGTTGACATTTTTTCATATATTTATTTGCCATTTCTGCTTCTTCATCTGAGTAGTGTCTATTCAATTCAAAGCCTATTTTTGGATTAGGTCTTTAAATTTTGGGAGTCTGATTTTTTTGAGTTCTTTATATGTTCTAGATATTAGTTCTTTGTCTGATGAACAGCTGCAAAAAAAATGTGTTCCCACACCGTGGGTCTTCTTTGCACACTGTTAGTAGTTTCTTTTGCTATGCAAAAGCTTTTAAATAAAATGAGATTCCAGTTGTTGATTTTTTATATTTTCTGTGTTCATAATTTAATTCATAAAGCCTTTGCCTATTCCTATGTCTTCCAGAGTTCTGCCTTTTCTATCTTCCAGCAGATTTAGTGTTTCTGTTTTAATATTTCAGTCTTTGATCCATTTTTATTTTAGATTAGTGCATTGAGAAAGATATGGGTCTAGTTTTAATCTTTGGCATGTGGAAAGTAAGCTTTTGCAGCACTGTTTATTAAAGAGACTTACTTTCTTCCAGTGAAGATGTTTGGCTCCTTTGTCAAAGATAAAGTGGCTGAGTATGTGCACAGTTGTTTCTTTGTCTTCTAATCTGTTCCGTTGATCCTCGGGTCTGTTTTTTGCCAGTACCATGCTGTTTTGTTTTGTTTTTTTTTAACCACAGTAGCTTGGTAATATAATTTCAAATTAGAGATTGTGATGCCTCTTGCCTTGCCATATTTTTTGTTTTATTTTGTTTTGCTTTTGTCTTTTTGAGACAGGGTCTCACTATGCAGTTCAGGCTTAAATTGTGAAGTTTTGTTGTTGTTGTTGTTGCTTTTGGTTTTTTGGTACCAGAAATTGAACTCATAACCTTGTGCTTGCCAGGCAAGCACTGTGCTGCTGAGCTACATCCCTAGCCGTGCCTTGCCTTTTTGTCCAGCATTGCCTTTACTCTTCTAGGTCTCTTCTGGTTCCAAGTGAATTTTAGAATTTTCTTTACATCTGCGAGATATTCCATATGGTATTTGGATTGGGATCACATTAAATTTGTATAACAATTTTGGAAGTATAGCCATTTTCATTGTATTGGTGCTTCCTACCCAAGAATAAGGAATATCTTTCCATTTTTTATATCCTCTTTGATCGGCCTTTTTTTTTTTGGAGACAGGATCTCACATGTAGTTCAGGCTGGCTTTGAACTCAGTATGTGGCCCAGGTTGGCCTTATACTCACAGCAACCCTCCTGCCTCAACCTCCTGAGTGTTCTCCTTTTTCAGAGTACTATAGTTTTCAATGCAAAGGTTTTTTACTTCCTTCATTAAACTGATTCCTTAATATTTTTTTTTGCATGCTATTGTGAAAGATGCAATTTCTCTAATTTCTCTCTCAGTGAGTTTGTTGTTTGTGTACAGGATTACTATTGATTTTCAAGTGTTGACTTTGTATCCAGGTATGTGATGAATTTGGTTATTAAATCTAGAAGTCTTTGGGGATCTTCTACATATAGTATCATGTTATCTACAAATAATGATCATTTAACTTCTTCCTTTCCTATCCTTATTCCTTTTATTTCTTTCTCTTGTCTAATTGCTTTGGATTATGTTTCCAGAACTATATTGAATAAGAGTGGTGATAGAAGACATCCTTTTCTTTTTCCTGATTTTAGAGTGAAAGCTTTCAATTTTTGTCCATTTAGTAAAGGCTGGCTGTCAGTTTGTTATAGATGCCTTTTATCAATAAAGACCATCTATTCCAATTTTCTGTCAGATTTTTATCATGAATGGGTGTTGGAGCTCGTCACATACTTTTTCTGCATCTATTAAGATAATCATATGATTTTTCTCCTTGGCTCTGTTAATATATTAGGGCTGGGGATTTAGCTCAGTGGCATAAGCACCTGTCTAGCAAGTGCGAGGTCATGAATTCCATCCCTCGTACTGCAAAAAAAAAAAAAAAAAAAATACATTTATTGATTTGCATATGTTGAACCACCCCCTGCATCCCTGGGATTAATCTCTTGTCATGGTGTATAATCTTCTTGATGATTTGCTGCCTTCTGTTTGCCAGTGTCTTATTGAGGATTTTTGCATCTACATACATTAAAGAGACTGACTTAGTTCTCTTTTGTTTGGATCCTTCTTTGGTTTTGGTGTCAGGGTAATGCTTGCTTTCAGGGATGACTTTGAGAGTATCATTTCCCTCTCTATTTCATGAAAGAGCTTGAGGAGTAGTAGGAGTAGATCTTCTCTAAATTTCTTATAGAATTCAGCATCCTAGGCTTTTCTTTGTTGGTAGATTTTCAATTACATCTTCAATTTCACTGACTGATATTAGTTTACGTAGAACTTTTATATCTTCTTGATTCAGCTTTGGTAAGTCATATCCATCTATCCATTTCTTCTGTGTTTTTCATCTTAGTCGAATACAGGTTCTTGAAGTAGATATTGATGATCTGGATTTCTGCAGAATCTTTGTGATTTCACCATTTTTATTCCTAATTGTGTGGATTTGAATCTTTTATTTCCTTTTTTGATAAGGTTTGGTAAATTTGTCAGTTTTATTTAATCTTTCAAAAAACCAACTCTTTCATCTATTGATTCTTTGTATTATTTTCTTAGTCTCCAGTGCATTAATTTCTGCTCTTACCTGTATTATTTCCTCTCTCTTGTGAGCTTTGGGTTTGACTTGCTCTTTTTTTTCTAGAAGCTTGGAAGTTCAACATTAATTTGTTTATTTGAACTCATTGTTTTTCTATGTGACTGTAAATCACCCTTATAGGACTGCTTTCATTATTTCCCATGTTACAGTATACTGTATTGGCATAATTATTTAATTGTAGAAATGTCTAATTTCTTCTTTAATTTCACCTGTGACTTTAATTGTACTGGATGTCCAGGAGGTTGCTATTTAATTTCTGTGTGTTTATGAAGTTTTATGGTTTCTTTTGCCATTAATCCCCAATTTCATTGCACTGTGGTCTGATACTAAGGCATGGGATAATTTCAGTTCTTTTGAATTCACTTAAGCATGTTTTATGAGTTAGTATTGTGGTCTGTTTTGAGCGTATTCCATGTGCAGCAGAGAAGAATATGTATTCTGATGCTGTGAAATGGAACACTCTGTAGATATCTACTAAGTCCATTTGTTCAAAAGTTTGGTTCAGTTCTGATGATTATTTGTTGA